TTGATTTACTAAAACTGGAGAGTGCAAAATCAGGTGCAACTCTGCATAGAAATCAATCAGCTTCCAGGTTTTTTTCCCACACCTTAATTAAACAAGCTGAAAGGATAAGTTCACCTTTTATAACATGTTACACCCATATTCGAAGGATCTTCTCCTCCCACTAGCTGTCAAAATTTTTTAAAAAATGCGGCCGTATGGGGCTCTGCCCACCCAGCCGTGTCACTCATTCACAGTCCTCTGTCAATGAGAAAACTACAAGTCCCGACAGCCTTAGTGACTTTTGGCTTGTAGTCCTCAATGAACTACCACCTGTGCCGTTGAGCGCCATGATAGTTCATTGATTCTACGGGGTTTATTTACTAAAGCTGGATAGTGCAAAATTCGGCTCACTTCTGCATAGAAACCAATCAGCTTCCAGGTTATATTGCCAAAGCTTAATTGAACAAGCTGAGGTTAGAAGCTGATTGGTTTCTATGGAGAAGTGAGCCTGATTTTGCACTCTCCAGCCTTAGTAAATAAACCCCTACCTGTCAGTATATCTGCTTGTCCATACATCTTATACGGGCAAGCAGATATACTGACAGGTCTGTAGGAGACCTGCATGGCACCAGCGATCTGCTGATCACTGGTGCAATGCTTTACAGGCTCTTGCAACAAAAAATAATTAATGCACATTTTTTTACCTGCACAAAAATATGCATTTGTTATTTTTTGTCAAAAAGTGAATTTATCCTTGAAGTTAGAAGCTAATTGTGTACCATGCACAGCTGCACCAGATTTTGCATTCTCCAATTTTAGTAAATCAAACCCATAGTGTAGCTAGCATGATTTATGATTTGATGGTTGTGCAACATTTTCTTTTGGTTCATTATTGACGGTATGAGAATACACATTACAGTGTGGGCAGCAACCAAAACTCTAGAATATATTATTGTCACTATTTTCATATTTATTGGTAAGTTTGCACAGAGGACACCTTCAGGTTATTGTTTACACAAGCTCTGAGACCCTAGGTTCACACCTATGTAGGTTGCGTTTGATGCATTTCCGCATTGCTTTTTGTGATGCGTTTTGCATTTTTGCCTTATTTTTTATGCATTTTGTGTTTTTTCTTTCATTTTTTTTAAAATTTTCCTTATTGCTAGGCAGATTTTAAACACAAAACGCATCACAAAAGCTGCAAAAATGCATAAAAAATGCAAAAAAAATGCATTACATGCTTTTCTTCAGTGTTCCCATTGAAGTCTATAGAACCAAAAATGCATTTTTTTGTGTTAAAAAAAGTTCCTGACCCTTTCCAAAAAATGCACCGGGTTAAAATGCGGAGATGTGAACCTGTCCCATAGGAAATCATGTTAAATGGACTGTACTGCGTTTCTGCAAAACGCTGCAGAAAACGCTTAAGTATGAACCTAGGGTTAGACAGAGATAGTGCCTCTTGTGATATAAGGTGACCCAGAAATGACAGTCTAGTTTGTCTAAAGCAGCATTTAGAAAGTTCTGTTTCAGTCCTGCAACTAATGTATTTTAGAACAACTCTAAGGTACTGCCGTGAAGATCCACGGTTAGGCTCTATACAAATATAAGATTTAACTAAATGCAAAACATTTTTTTTTAGTTTTGGGCAGGACCCCCTTCCGATTTTTATTGCAGTCTGTGCCTCCCGTTAGGGAGATTCACCCTCCCTATTTGTCCTGTTTACCGTTGTCACCAAGAGTGAAAGTGAAAGAAAATTTTGAGTTGTCACCAGAACCGTAAAAGAGAGGGGAAATCTTAAAATGGTGAGCTGGGTTGGGCTTGGGATTCCCATAATTTGCAGGGGTTTCCTCTCACTTCCTGTTCTGGCTATGGGACAGGAATTGAAGGTAAATTTCCCCAATGGGTCTCAGATGACAAAAAAACTGACAGAGTTTATAACCTTCCCTTACTCTATCCACAATGAAAAAGTCACACAGATAGCACTGTATATCAGGTACAATATTGAGCGTTGAAAGCATCAGTCTTTGAAAACAAAGTGCTGAAGCCAATTCATAAGGTACATGTTTGAAACAGAACAGGCTTTTATGGGTAATAAATGCAATGAGGTCCTTATCCCTTATCTAGCAAAACCTGATGATACACACTTTGAAAATTCAGACCAGGTTCACAGTGATGCAGTGTGGGAAACACTGAAAATCTTGTGCGCAGGGGTGGATTGACCATTTGGAAATGCGGGCCCTGCCCTAGGGCCCGGGGTCAGTAGGGGGCCCCATGAGATGCCCCTGGTACCTTTTTCATAGGCTTTTTTGAGTTTGGGCAAGGGCACAGGGGCCCCATGATCCCCTATTGCCCGGGGGCCCCATGAGTTTTCAGTCCGTCCCTGCTTGTGCGTTTCCCGCACCGCATTGCTATAGCATGGTGTTCATGTGATCTGGTGCTGATGTCAATGTTAAATTAATGACACCCTGAAACAGATTGCAAAACGCAGTGCAATTGCCAGAAATCACATCACATGGGTGAGAACACCCATGCGATTAGATTCAGGTGCGGGTAAAAAAAGGTCTTGCACTTTTTTGGTGAGGATGCAATGCAATTTGAACAATACAAAATGTATGGCTCAAATTGCAGCATACAGACATCGCATGTATTTCGCATGCAGTGTGATTCCTGTGCGAATTAAATGCAGTGTCCTGCATTGCATTAATGTGAACCCGGTCTCAGGGTAGAATAGAATGTAGATTCTCTGAGTCCTGAAAATATTTCCCCAATTTATGCAGCAAGGAGTATATCAATAATAAAAGCTTTATTTGGTTCATGAAGATCATCACATAATCTAGTACATTCTATGTATTTAATTGACACCACAGATGCATCAATATTTTCCAATACATTTTATCCTAGTAATTTTTTAAAGTTCTTTGGAAACTGCTTCTTATATGTAGAAGGATAAGCATCTCAATTTCTGATACAATGGTTTTATATCTGATCACACTTTAATTTTGTTTACATACTTTTTTATTGAAAGATAGACAACAAAAGCAGAACAACTTCATGAGGTATAAAATACATCAAGAAAAAGGCACACAGGTAGTGAGCAGTATTATAAAATGTAATCATAGAAAAATAAAGTTCAAGTACATGAGTGAGGTAGGCAGTAAGATATGCAGAACAACCACATAACCAACAGAGATTCAATATAAATCGATCTATGATAGACCATTAATCAAATAATAAGTGTCAATGTGTTTTCCACCCATCCCATTTTCTGTTAAATAAATGCATCCTATCGATTATTGTATATTAAATACATTCCATGAGCATAACCATATTGACTCTCCGCAAAACAGAGGCCAAAGGGACAACCGGTGATTTCTGATGAAGGGCCATGGCCCATAAGGTGGAGACACAGATCCTATGAATTAACCTCATTACGTTGACCTGGATCCCTGAAATGGGAGCACCCAGTAGACAAATTTGCATAGACATATTTACCAGAGTATCCACCAAGGCAGAGGCCACCGCAGAGACTCTGTGCCAGATCAAGGAGAAACCAGGACAAGCCCAGAATATATGCACAAAGGTACCAGCAGGGCCACAGCCCCTTAGACAGAGGTGTGATGTTCCTGGAAACATGATACATAGTCTAGAAGGGGTGTAATCACACTTTAATTTTGTGTACAAAGTTCTTTCAGTGGTGAAACTTTGGACACTGGTAGCATAGAGGCAACTGGAGCTGTCGTGATAAGACCATCCATTAATTATAGATTTAGTGCAACAAGTGTTTGCTTTGCCTAAAGCAATGCGTTTTATTACAAAGTATACAGTAATTCAGCTTGCACCCTTTTTGACTGAAATTTTACAGTTACTGGCCGGTGACCAAGCATGGGAATAGGGTCTCTGCAACCACAGGTTTCAGGAAAGAAAATTTGCTTGGTTCCTCCATTAACACATTAAGCGTTGATGGGGAAATCCCTCCTGTGGAGATTTTTTATTCTGACAGTGGGAGGTTTCCCAGCCATCACAATACAATGATTACTGCTGGTTGTATTGAAGTCCATCAATGAATCAGCCTTTCTATACATGGATCGAAATTTGTCTGCTGAATCAGCCTAATTTCAATCCTTCTATGGTTGGCTTCAGATAACTAACCAGTTTCAGAGTAGATGTAGTAAATAGATCATTTGCAAAGTACTTCTGGTAGATTTACTCAGGCAGTATAGAGATCAAATCCTATATCAAGCATCAGTATAATAGAGTAGACCTTGTTAGCAGAAGCGTGATATTTATCTACACTTAAGACAGTAACCTCTGGGGTCAGTAACTTCATGAACCTATCCAACAGTAAAAGTACGGCAAATTTGTAAAGGTTGTCTTTTCTTCATTTATGGCAGTACATGCAGCATAGTTTACAATGTGCGGTGTTGAGCCACACCTAAAGCAGTATTTGTTTTGTGTATGTTCAGCTCTCCATTGCAGTTTAGATGAATATTTTGTGCCTAAGTATGTGCCATATAAGAGGCAGATTCTGAATTTACAGCCTGTATGGTACCAGTAGACTGAGAGTTTTTGCCTCAGCCACAGCAGTTTCACTGGGCCTTGAGACTGTAACAGCTTTTGGTAGAGTGAAATGATGCTCCAAGAGCAATCTTTCTCTAATGCAAGCTAAGTCTTTTTTTTTAATTGCTTGGTCTCTTATCATTTCAACAGAACACCAACTTCACAGGTAATAACCGCCTCAGCTGCTATAATATGTGGTATGAATTCACCATTATGCTGTCCTTGTTGACATAATTTATATGTTTCTGCAACCACATTTACTTTAGGCACAAAGATGTTTTTTTTTTTTTTTAACTGCTTCTAACCGTATGACCTTCATGATTTGTAAATACAGCACCAAGTCTTCTAGCCATGGAATGAACAAGTTGGCGACATATTTCAACATCTATCTTTTTCCAGTCTTCAAGAACGACCTCTTTTAGAGCCTGGATGCAGGATGGAGAGGGATGCTCAACTTGTCTCTTCAGAATTCCGCATAGGTGTTTGATTTGGTTCAGAATACTTGGCCACTGAATTACTTTCACCCTGTTCTTCTTCAGAAATGCAACAGTGACCTTAGATGTGTGTTTTGGATCATTGTCATGTTGGAAAAGTGTACCAAGGGCACAGAGTGATGGTAGCATCTTCTCTTTCAATATAGAGCAGTGCATCTGTGAATTCATGATACCATCAATGAAATGCAGTTCCCTGACACCAGCAGCACTCGTGCAGCCCCACCATGTTTCACTGTAGGCACCATGCATTTTTCTTTTCTACTCCCACACTTTTGCGATGCCATACAGTTTTGAAGCCATCAGTTCCAAAAACATTTATCTTGGTCTTATCACTCCAGAGTACAGAGTCCCAGTAGTCTTCTTCTTTTTCACCACAAGCCCTGAAAAATTCTAGGTGGGCTTTTTTGTGCATGGGCTTTAGGAGAGGCTTCCTTCGTGGACGACACCCATGCATGCCACTCCTCTGCAGTGTATTGTGTCAAGGGAAACAATCACCCCAGTTTGTCTTTCTTTAGCTAACTGCAGTGAACTTGCATGATGATTTTCTTTAACCCTTCTCATCAGAAGACACTCCTGTCAAGGTGTTAACTTCCATGGACGGCCTAGATGTCTCTGTGAGATGGTTGCAGTTCCATCTTTGTTTAATTTTTGTATCACTTTTGGTACAGTATTCTGACTGATAAGTAAAGCTTTGCTGATCTTCTTGCAGCCTTTACCTTTGTAAAGAAATTATTTTCTTTCTCTGGCCTTGCGACATTTCTCTTCATGTGATGCCATTGCTGACAGCATGAAATGGGAAGGGGTTTTCTTTGTTACGTAATACCCTTTTATAATCAACTGCTGACACCTGTTTATTGAATAAATAGACTCACCTGTAGTTGAATTCTTGTTAATTGGAATTTTGTTGTCTAAAATTTAGCTTTGCCCCTAAGACTTTTTATTGGGGTGCATTCATTTTTGCAACATGGTCTTGAATGAATTTGTTAGGGAAAATATTTTGTAGTATAGTGTCCCATAGAAAATGTTGATTCTGAAAGTAAAGTAAAGGTTTTCTGACAAATCTGTTGGGGTTCACTCATTTATGCTGAGCACTGTATGTGTGTATATATACAAACGTTTTGCTTTTCATTTCTGCTTTAAACTTTAGCGGGTTGTTTTACAAGGTGAGGATTTACATATACTTTAATGTTGGGATTTAGCCAGTACTTTTACTATAAGGCACATATAGGCCAGTGCTTGAGACAGCAGAGTTAGAGTTCTATCTTTCTTCTTCTGGACACCTCTGGACATTTGTAGCTAAATTTACCAGGAGAACAGGGGGGGGGGGAGTGCAGGGGACGTTGAGAGGAATCAGAAGGCTCTTTATGGCTCAAAAAAATGTGAATCTATTTTCTTTCTTGTTTTTGTCAATCTATAAAATACCTCTCCAACAGCACATTATGGCAGTAGTTCCTAAGAAAATAATTTAATGGCACAAGGGTGGAGCTCATATAAAAGCCTAGGACATACATGATATATAAATCCAAACCTGGCTTTATGTGTTCCTGTGCATCTCTGAAACACCTTGCATCCTTCTGAACTTTGGATTATTACAACACTGCTGGCTAGAATGAGCCATTGAAACTGCAACTCTGGATCTGCATACTAGTACTACTTACCAAAAAACTAAAAGAAGCTGAGGATCATGATGACAGCCAGGCAACAAGCATGATCTTAAATAAGGCAGCAATGGAAGAGCCTTTGTTTCCATCCTAACAGATGCACACCGAATGACCGAAGGCCCAGACTCACCTACTAATGGTGTCTAATCGTCTAGCATATCCTGTATTTAGTATTGCTGTTTTCTCCTTCAAGAATGACTACAATCTAATAAACTGTAAACTTGAAAAGCAGTGTTTGCATATATTTTATTCACAGTTACTCTCCTTATTTTTTTTTTTTCCGATTTCTTTTACAGGACTATAAAATGTAACGGTATATAATTAAAAGATAATAGTGCTAAAAAACATACTCGAGATGAGACACCATAAAACTGGAGAAAATAAGCAATATGACTTCTATTCATAGTAACTGGCTGCATGTTAGATTTCTTTTGTAACTAAACCTTGAAAATAATGGCTGCAGTCTAATGGCTGCTAGAGGCTATGACTTATTTTCTCTTTTCTTGCTCCTGGTTTTTACAACAAAGGCACAATTGAGTTTGTGCTTCATTGTAATTGGTTGCTTTCAAATTAGTTTACCTACTTTCTTAAAAATAATCCTTTAGTTTCATAGAGTTCAAATATCATAAACGTATTACTATTATTAACTGTGTTATTCTTCTCTAACAGCTGGTTAGCTACAAAGGAATTACATCTATAGGAGCAGTATGTAATATAGGCATTGGCCAGAAGATGGGGCCGTTGTTTGTCCTAAAACAGACATATTTTTTACGCGCGGAGCGATTACACGCAGTTCTCTGTACATTAGGATTTTTTGCTTTTATTACTTCTATGTTACCATATGAAACAATTTCACAACTAATCAGGTAGAAAAACATTGGATAGAACAGGTAAGGATTCTTATCTCTTTGTGCTAATTTGTCAATTCTTCATCCAATACAGGCTAGTTATGTAAGCTTAAAGTGATACTAAAGGCAATGTAAAAATGACATATGATGCAGTCTGTCACTAGCATTACCAAAGCAGTCTTTGTGAATGATTTACTAAAACTGGTGCACTCAGAATCTGGTCCACCTGTGCATGGTAACCAATCAGTTTCTAACTTCAAGATAGTATATGGCGAGCGCTGTGTATAACAAAAAGCAGCTAGCACAAGAGACAATTTTTAGGTCTCACAGTAACACGTGTGTGAAGTGCAGCGCTAAAACCTACAGTAAAACATCCAAGAGTATTGCAAAACACCAAAAAAGTATACACATTAATGCAAACAGAAACATAAACATCAGTGAAACAATAAATAAAGTCCATACAGTGTAATATATAGGTGCTAGTGTAAATCACCATGACAATGTGACAAAGAACAGTCCATATAGTAAACAAAGAATGTGTCAGTGATACTGCAAGACACAAATGACAACTTGTCCAGCTTCAAAGCAGTGCCAGGGGATCCACTGACAGGCATTTCACTCTCCACTGCTTCCCTCTGAGCGGATGGGCGTTCCATCTTGGAACCTGGCTTCTTAAAGCCACAGGCTGGTTATCTATTATTTACCATATGAATTATTAAAGGCACACCTCCATATAAGGTGTATTACTTTTATCACAAAACTACACAGCGCCTGGCTCCTGTTTATACTTTCCATAAACCAATGTGTTTTTTACCATGGCAGCAGTGAGTTTTTTCCCCACTAATCACAGTTGACATATACCATTCACTTATTTCCTTTGGGACACATCTGTGCGCTTTTATCCGGACCATTCTGCCTCCATAGCAAGCAGCTTGCTGTGGGGGTACCAGAAAGGAGGGAGGGGCCAGGGGAGCCTGCGGGGGACCCAGAAGAGGAGGATCTAGGGTTCTCTGTGCAAAACCACTGTACACAGCAGGTATGTATAGACATGTTTGTCATTTTTTCTCAAAGAAGTATCACTTTGGAATCACTTTAAGCTTTGACAATAAAACCTGGAAACTAATTGATTAGCATTGTCTAGGAGCTCTGATCAGATGCTGGTTTTCCAGCATACTCATTTGACAGAATCTGGTTTTGAGACTGGCTTCTGTTGGACAGGCAGCTGTACACATGGAGCAAAAGGTGGCCGATTTCTACTGTGCTGGCTGATTTAGGCTGATATACGGCCTGTGTGCATTAGTGTCCCAAAGCTGGTAGTTTGTTGTAGAGGATCCAGTGACAAATTTATATACCAGTACCTAGTTGGTTTGGACACACTAAGCAGATGGAGATAGGGGACAGAGCTGGCATATGGTTTATTAAAGTAGCAACTCTTATTGAGCCAGATGTTCGCCAGGCTTAGCGCTTAGCCACAGTAAATAGCCTCCATATTTTGGCATGGGAAGGATTGAGGATCTAGGCACAGGAGAAGTGAACATGCAAACATGGGGTTATATTTATATTAAATAAGGTCAGTGTTAGGGTAGATTCACACCACAATGCATGCATCAGTACACATACATTGACATACAATGATGATGTGTGTTGCAATGCATTTATGTGTGTGCTGCATTTTTTTTTTAAATTTTTAATAGACACACTACATTCCTTTTACCCAATGTACACTACTGTGCAAGAAAATGCTGCCTGCCCCATCATTTCTTTAGTGTACACCAACACAATACATTAGTGTAAACTGACATAGTAGAGTTAAAAGCTTTTTATCATGTCCATGCATTCAGGCTGCTTTGACCAATGAAGCCCAATCTACATGGTGTGAACAAGCCCTTAGAGTTTCAGGAAAGGATACTGTGAGGGTTAAACTCTAACTCCAGGAATTAGACATATCCACCGTACACATGGTGCCCTCTGCACTGTAAAAGCATAAATGCTTCTTAGGTCTTGGGGGAGCTGAATAGGCCACATTACACACCACAGACCCCGCTCTGGCAGGTGCTCTTCTCTTCCCTCCCCCTTTCTTGGAAATCCTCTGCATCATCATATACAGTTAAAGAATATTGACCCTACATTTTACAGCATAGGTGCTGACACAGTAAAGAAGTCTCTTTTTAGGTAGTTCCAGGCTGCTGCCCTAAGGGTCCACCAGAACTATTGCAATGTCGACACACAAATCTATCTCTCAATCCCCCACCTCAACCCCTCGGTCTCCGCCCGAATCACACACCTACTGAGCGACATATCAGACTGGATGTCACTCCACTTCCTTAAACTGAACCTCTCCAAAACCGAGTTTCTTGTCTTCCCCCCAGCCCGGACACCACCCCCCATTGACTTCTCCATCACATCCAACAACGCCACCATCAAACCTGCCCCGCAGGCCAGAGTACTTGGTGTCATTCTGGACTCCAACCTATCCTTCCAGCCCCAAGTCCAATCTTCAACAAACTCGTGCAGACTCCACCTCCGCAACATCGCCAAAATACGCACGTTCGTAACCCCAGAAACCACTAAACAGCTCATCCACTCCCTCATCATATCACGACTCGACTACTGCAACTCCCTCCTAACTGGCCTGCCTTGCCGCTGGCTATCCCCGCTTCAGTCGATCCTGAATACGGCTGCCAGACTCATTCACCTTTCCAACCGCTCTGTTTCCGCACCCCCTTCTGCCAATCTCTCCACTGGCTTCCGATTGCACAACGGATCAAATTCAAAATCCTAACACTGACGTACAAAGCTGTCCACCATACTGCCCCGAACTACATCACTGACCTAATATCCAATTACCACCCAGCACGCACACTCCGCTCCTCACAAGACCTCCTTCTCTCTAGTTCCCTGGTCTTCTCCTCCCATGCCCGCCTCCAGGACTTCTCCAGGGTGTCACCCATCCTCTGGAACTCCCTGCCCCAACCCATCAGATTATCACCTACTCTCCTCTCCTTTAGGTGCACCCTGAAAACCCATCTCTTCAGGGAAGCCTACCCCACCCCC